CAATTATCTAAACAAAATGTGTAAGAGCTTGGGTTCTGTGTGCTAAATAGAGAATAATACATGGGTGCACGTAGATATGGAATTTCTCTTCGATTGTTCGACTCGATAGCTCACGAAGGAGCGCAGCGAACGAGTGAGATGTTGAGTTGAACACGATGAGAGACATTCCATATCTACAAATCTACAAGCAACCATGTATTATTTTGTTTATCGTAGAAACACAATAGCCCTTTACTGAAAAGAAAAGCCGGCTTCATTCATGGGTGAAAATAAATGAATCGACAAGCCCCAAATAACAATCGAGGAGTGCATTGGCGCTAACTCTTAAGATGAAAAAATGCGTTGAATCATGATTATAAAAAGAACAATGGGCGCAATTTTCAATTTATAAAATTCTTATTTATCGACTTTGTCCTTACCGACAGAAGAAGTCTTTCCGATAAACGGCTAAAATCGGCCTGCGGCAAATCTTCCAGTTGTCGATTTTCATTCTCAGCCGCGAGAAATGCCATCACCATAGCCACCCAATACGTAACTTTCGGTTTTTCTATTCGTATATTACATAATTGATTTTCTTCCCCTTACAGGAAAGTTTGAACGTCATTGTCTGTGAGCGATACGGATTTTTTAGCGTATAGCGGCCATCATCCGAGAAACTATCTTGTATTGAGAATCTGAAGGCTTTATCGTCCATTTATCAACTTGACCGAGTAGCGCGAAAGGCGAGTGTCGTGTCAGCTGCTTATTGGCGATATCAAACACGCGTGAAAGAATATCGTATTTTTACACGTGTGTTGTTACGGCTTTTCTCAGGGCTGGAAATCGTTGTATAACACCGTAGTTTAAATGATAAAAGTGCACACGAGATCATTCTGTGACCAATTTTGAAAAAAACATTGGAGTTAATCATGAAAAGCGAATCGATCAATTTGTATTGACAAGCTTTAACACATGCATGTTTCAATCTTAGCCAAGTGCAACAAGACTCAAATTCTTCTAACTTAATCCAACGTGATAACAAAATCTCCTTGCAATTGTTGGAAATTGTCAGAAAGTTTTGCTTCTTTTAATAAAATTAGACAAAAGTAATCTCTTGATCCATTTTAAATTCCCTAACATGGCTATTTCTAAGGTACATGTCGTAGAAATATTAGTGCAAGCACTCAGGTAGCGAGGCCCGCTGGTTGCCGAAAGGTGTCGTTAATCGCAAAAAGCCGTTATGTCCATATGGAAATGAAAATTTATATGTATGATATAAAACTCCTGCCTCGACTTTTAAGTTGTCAAAAATTAAAACTTTTGTTAACTTTATGTTAAGTTTAAGTCACATAAGTTTTTAACTTACAAATGGATTTTGTTTGATTTCACTTCAATTTCTTACAACTAAGAGCCAGTAATCAGGCCCTCATTGAAGTTCGAGCGTTTCTTTGCTTGGGGTAAAGAAGAAAGTATGAAGCCTTGACTGAACGCGAAACGGCAAAAAGTCTGCTTGAGATTTAGCTGTTAGGCGTAAATTTTGTCACTTTTTGGCTGTTAGTTGTAAAAAAGGATAACCGTAGGAATAATTGCTGGGGACAGCAATATGAAGACATTAACTGTTAGCCGTAAAATGGCCAATAATATAAAACGCTAACCGAAAGAGCAATATTCCTACTAAGCCTCTCCTGCAAGGGGTATAACTGATATAGTGCTAGACTCCTGGCAAACCTCCGTCCGAACCGATCTCCAATCTTCCCGCGGGACGAGAAACGCGCTTCCTGCAAAGCTATTCATAAGGGCCTGCACACAAGTTTCACAGCTAAAGGCACAAGAAACGAAGATGAAATGATAAGACATGAAGATGTTTGAATAGAGGGAGTGGAAGTATCAGTCAAAGATTCCTTATCAGTTCAAAACATTTAGTTGAATATTTCCCACGAAATAATTTCTAATCGGATCCTGTTTGGAGGACAGAAGATAAAATGCCCACGTAAGCAATTAGCGCAACAAAGCTTACCGCAAGACAAGTTCAGAGATGCTTTTTAGGCCCACGAATAGAAAAATTGCGGGTTTTTCTTTCTTTTTTTTTTTACATAAAATTTCCTCACAGTCGTTGTCATCGTTAAAAAAATGTTACAAAACGGAAAAGCAACTGGCTATTTTGTGAATCACTTATGGGCGAGCGGATTTTGCGAGGTCATCGTGTCAAGGGCTTTATGCCCATTTGCAAATGCGCATTTAGATTGGAGTTACACGTGTTTTAAAAATCGGGAAAATTGCTTGAAAATGTCCTAAATTAAGTCCTCAAAACTTAATGTCAGCACACATATTCGCTGTAAAGTTAACTGACGTTCAAACATCATCATAAAACCAAGATGAGAAAAACATGTCCAACGGCGTCTTTCCCTTCCGGATTGTTTGTTTTTTTTCTCAGCACCTTTATCTTTCCCATAGCAGTGTTACTGTAAGAAGAAATTGAATGTTGATCACACTTGGGGTTAAATGGGCTAACTCCTTTTACTATGTACATTCTGTTAATTTCTTCCTCGCGTGTGGCTTCGCATGGTCGGTGCTTCTCATTACGACATTTAGCGCAATGTTTATAATCGGATTTTGCGCTGTTTAACATCTGCTAATCGCAGTTTACACTCTCGCTTGTACCAAGCATGCATTTGGTAAACATCGACACTTTTTCTCGTTTCATTTCGTGTTGCTCTTTCAGTGCTACAGTACTCAGTCTGGTTACTTTCCTAACCCCACAACTGATTCCTCCATTATATATGTTGCAATGCTATTTCCTTTCCTTCAAAAACAGTGCCAAATACCTTCTGAAAATTTCGTGAAGTGCTTACGTAAGAGAAGATTAATCCAGCTTCAAACCGCTCTTTTTCAATTAAATCTAATTAATTGTTTTGAGAAGCACTCTTTTGAAAAGACTTGCTAATTAAGATAACAGGCAAGCGAGCATCAAACATAAATTTTCACTTTCACAAGAAGATGATGAATCATTCTTTTATCATTTTTTCGTCAACAACCACTATTGTCTGGCAACTGGTGGTTTCCTACATCGTCACGAATCACAGGAAATAACCAAAAAAAAAGAGGAAAAAAAAGGAAAAATACCGGATCCACAATAATTACCCGAGATAGCACTGTCAACTTGTATCTCTGCCCTTTATGAACAAGGGAAATGCTCTTCCGGCGTTTGTTGCCACGAAAACTTCTCAAAGCAATAAAAGAGGTGAAGGCTCTTGTCGAGATTGTTTTTTCTAGAATTTATCTCTTAAATGGAAAGAAAAATAATGCAAACAATCTTGAAAGTATGCAAACATGTTTTCTTTTTTTTTTGTTTTAAATGTCCAAAATTGTAAATTCAAATGAACTGAAGGCTTTGAACGTTGTTAAATGGTTTCTAAAAATTAACCTCATATCGTTAAAAGTTTAGTTATTTATAGTGACAAAATCAGGTGGTAGTGATGAATACACTTCTGAGAAATGAACTGTTATCGATTGTTTCACAATGCAGTCACTTCCGCTGTGAAGCAAGACCTTTCGACTACCTCATGCAGTAGTTCTTTTTCATGTAACTAATCGACTTCATCGCCCAGAAAAGACTGAATGACAGTAGAAAGCTCGCCACCGCATCGGAAAGGACTAGGCATCCTTAGCCAAACGATAACAATTCATTACAAAAAAAATTCATTGCCTGGCTTTTGATCGTTAGCCAACGCGTGAAAATTTATCTCCTAACCTTACATCGTCGACTACCCAGCGCACAGAGACATCGTTTTTTTATGTTGTCGTAAAAATCGTACTTTTCATGCAACTGTACTCACTCCTCACGCGTTATTAAAATCTATAGGGAGTCGAGAGTCTAAAGCTGGACATAACGAAGCACAAATATTTCTATTAGAAAAACGTTGGAGATTAACAGTTGGATACTTGATAATAACTCTCCGGTAAAGCAGGAAAATCAAAGTAGATTTAGAATCGAACGATGATTTTATGAATTTCGGCGTATTACAGGCGAGAAGCGGGCTTGAAAAATTGTTACCGTTTGGCACGTAAAACTCTGTCGGTTCACCTCTGAAAGGTGTAGTTAATGACACAAAGTGAAATGTTAGTGATAGTGTCGGCTTCTTCTGAAAATTTAAAGGGATTAAAGAAATGAAACTTCAAAAGACTCCATTGAAATGTCAAGAGCCTCGAGAATCCTTATAAACTTTCAAAGAGGCACTGGGGTTTGCCTGCGAAAAAATCCTAAATCTTGAGGCAAAATCCAAAGAAATTCGCATCATCCGAAGCCAATTCGTCTAGACAATAGTTCGTATGAAAGCTTAACATAAAGATCCGCGAGTATTTGTAAAATATCTCATTGCCGATACGTTAGCAGAAAACAAAACAAAGGATTGAAGTGATACTATGGGATCATTTTCGGCGAACTTTCTGGACGCATTTCTGAGGTCAGATCCTAATGAGATTTTCGCAAATTAACTGCCGGATTTTTTCCCTTATCACTTGTGATTTAGCAAATTCCTGAGAAACCAAGGTAAGCCAAGAAGAAAAAGAGGTCAATTGACGTCTCGGACATGCTCTCGTGCTTACGTCCTCAATCAGGAAATACCTCGAGCGCTTGGAGAGGTTCTTGGAGTCGAAAAACGTTGCTTTTAAGCACATTTCCTCGCTGAATTCAATGGAAATGTGTGCTGCGTAACAAGATAAACATAACTAATGTTGTACTGTTGAACAAATGAGTTTTATGTTTTTATAGCAAGAGTCGCATCTGGCTCTAAGAGCCTTGAAATGGATATCCCTCCTCGACTTACGGGACACTTCTAAATTTGTAAACAGCGATATGCATCTCGCTAAATTTAAAGCTTCGAGTGAGAAGTTCCTTAGGAACTTGCGCTCTCAAACTTTGCACGCGAAGTTAGGGAAGAGCAACAGAATAAAATTTTAAAGAACAAAAACAAACTTATTTCGCCAATATTTGGCTGATAAAAGCAAACTCAACGAAAGGATTCAATACTTTGATACTTGACTTTTAATTTGTAGGACTTGTAGTCTGGCCGGCTACAATAGATAATAAGTTATTATTCTAGAGCTTTTTTTAGCTAAGGACCTTAGCCTTCACTTCTAAAATGGTACATAATTTTGGCCTTGAAATTTTAACATCTTGATTTCATATATACAAATAAACAATATACGCAAACATAAATAGGTGAAAGCTTTCATTTGGTTCAGTGTTTTTTTTCGTCCCGAGCCAAGCTGCCTTGTGAGCGGCCTTGTAAAATGTTTATGTACTGTCTATAACTCCGTAGAGCATAAACTTGAGCTCCTGAGCTCGCTGAAGTCGAAAGACGAGACGTCTAAGTCCAGTGAATGTGATTTGGGCGATCTGTCGATTTTTCTTGTTGAAAAATCCGTGTTCTTCTCTACAACTACTACCCCGTCACTAAAACTTCTTTTGGTGAGGGAAATGCGTGAGTCTTGGAGTGGAGCCTGAGTTCCTTTCTTACGTGCTTGGGGAAGAGAGCCTCTCCTGATTAAGTCTTGGTCATTTGGTCTTTCTTGGGAAGATTTTCTTCTATTCTTAGCACTAAAGCCTGTATCTTCCACGATGTCGTATTTTTCAAATCCTCCACAAAGAGCTGCAATGTAAAAAGACGACCGGATATAATGAGCTTCAGCTTCTCAGAACAAAAGGATGAGCGAAAAAAACACGCGTGTCGGAAGGCTTAAGAGAAAGTAACCACCAATGAAACAGTAATCTCAGAAACAAATCTATTTGAAAACTAGTATTTCAAAACTGCCGTATTTCTCTTCATGATCTCTAACAACGACTTTTCGATATTCGTCGGATGTAGACACGAACCAGTAAGATGTGAAAATGGCGTCACTTCGTCAAAAGACCCTGGCTCGACTGCAGCTTAGATCCATTTGCTTCAAAAATGCTCTTATTTTGAAGGAAGATATCTGGTCGAAGACGAGCCTTGTTCTCGAATTCTTAGCAATTAAATTGTCAGAGTATTTTACTATTCTTCGCGACACTCTCGTATGAACAATTATTCTCTCTCAATTAAAACTTGCATCAGTTAAGATGCGTGGTAAACAGCGCGGCTTAGGCGAGTAAATAAATCGTCATATCATCTTGAACACCATACCTGATAAGCGAAAGGCGATGTCATGCCAATCTCTCTGAGTTTTCACTTCTTTCATGGTATATTTCTAGCGGCGTTGCCTCTTGTGCAACAAAGTTAGGTAGAATCCTTGAAACGTATTTCACAATCTCTATCTTTTTGCGGTGTCCTCCTCGAGCACAGATGTCTATCTAATGACTTCGATGCATCGCGACGCGGCATTTATACGCCCCTCGAGGAAAATGGAAATATCACTTGTCAACGAATCGAATTTGTGGGAACTTGACCTTTGCCATATGGTTCCTGTTTGAGTTGGTAGGAATGACCGTTTCTCGGGGACTATAATTAGACGGGAAAACTCGTCTTATATTACACTTTGTTTATTGCCCACGTAAAATCAATGTTAAACGGTGCAGGGCGACTTTTGCTCAACACTTCTCCTTTTAAGTGCAACAAGAAACGTCCTCGCCTAATCCCACGAAAAATATCATAGTTACTCAGCAGAATCAAGCTATTGTTACCAAATTTTGCAAAAATAGTCAAGGTCTCCTCATAGGTTAATAATAAATTCACACACGCAGTTGGTTCATATCTCTACATGCCATCAAGATATTCTATTCTTGCATTCGCCCTTTACAATGCATCAGAAATTTCCTTTTTCAGCTTTGACCTGCGTCATATGAGGTCTCTTCCACTGTAATATTCACATCCTTAGCAGCTCATGAACAAAGCAAATAATCTTTCCGGACTTAGACGTTTCTTACAATGTCATCAAAAGTTACCGCAAAATTCGCCAAAAAAAAAAAAAAAAAGAACTGCGAGTGCCAAATCCCTTGGAAAATCGATTTTATCCAGGTTTAAGACGCAATTTAGGATTATCTGAAAAATATTTTCATAAACCACTTCTTTTTCGATGGAAATTGAGCTAATGAAATTGACTTACATCAAATTCTGCAAGGGCATAAGGTAGAAAAGAATGATTAATCAATGAAACTTCGAGAGACTATTAACGAATACTTCTTGGGGTCAATCCTTTCGATAACGGGTTGAGACCAGAACAATATTGTGAGACGAATATTTATATAGGAGTCATTTTGGTAACCATAGAAGTATCAGTTGACAAACTTTAGTCTGAGATAAAGGAAGTTAAAAAATATATATATAAAAAGTCGAAATTTTCAGCCTTCGATAACTGCTAGGAAAAGAGCGCACGACCTGATTTTTTCGGTTTTTACATTTCGACTATTCAATGCACTTTCATAAACGAGCTACAGTTTTTTTAATGACTCAATCAAAACATTCCAGGCCATTTTCCTAATAGCTTATTGCTATCCAGATAGCGATAATCTACGACAGAGGGTAAATTTCACTCTACACCATTCCTGATTATTATAGAAAGTAGACCACAGCTACGATTTGTATAAAAGAGGCGACAGGTTATTCTTTAAACTTCTTTTCCTAAAGAGGAGTTAAGATGTCGACGGCGTCCGGCTTTGCTGAAGCTCTAAGTCGTAACTTTTTACTTCGTCCTCAGTATTCATGTATCATATACACTTGGTTTTCTACGTGAGTTTCAAATCCATTTTGGAGTTGTTTTGTATTTTGTGTTTTGTTTTTTTTTTACATTGTGCTGCTGAAAGAAGAGTTTGATAATCATAGAAAACGGGACGTCTGTTATCTTACGTGCATCGGCGACAGTCATGAACAGTTTACATGAATCATGAACTGATCATGTGATACTTGCAAAACGTGATTGTCTAATTATCATCACGATGTTTGCGCGTGAATGGTAGGCTGCTAAGGCGCGCTTGGCGTAAACAGCGGTGCTGCATTTAAGAACGAGAAACGCGTCAGGAATGTGGGCAAAAGTTAACGGCCTCGCGAATCTCATAGAGAGACATCTTTGCTCTGTATCAATTTTTTTTCTGACAATATCCATAGATGAGCGAAATGAGATAAAAAAAGAAAATATTTACATAGGGGTATTGCTGTTTTTGATAACAAAATTGTAACTGATAGCAGAGGAAAATCGATATTTTTTGGAGATCGAGCGAGTGAAAAATTCACAGAGTCAATTCTTATTGTCTGCCGTCAATATTTTTACTACTGTTATTCTGCTTGCAAGGGCCGGGGTTTAATTTTGCTTACTGTCTTTTGCTATGTGAGAAGGAAATGGAAATACACCAAGCTGTGCCAATCTAATCAGATCTACTATAATTATAACGTCAGAGTGACTCTGTGCTTCATGAATTACCAGGACAACTCAAAACACAAAGTGTGAACTTTCTCCAAGAAGCTAAGAAACTTTGCACAAATTATCTTAAAGCTTGCACGGTTATCATTTTCAATCCGTTTTCATGTTCTGGACCTCTTACGACCCACGATCCATTTTCAGCACCTCTTGCTATTTTAATTTTTGTTTATCTTATCTAAAAGTATGTAATATTTTGTGGTTTCCTTTACGTTAAAGGTATTTTGTCTCATCGTTTCAAACAACGTGAGATGCAGTGATTTAGCAGCTTTTAGGTGTGTCGACAAAACACAGGTGTAAGGGAAGTTGTGGCAAGTCAAGATTGCGATAACCATACACTTCTCACTGGGGGAGGGGGGGGGAACGTCCTCATACGAGTTATTCAGGTATGAGTCATCTCAGCGGGTATGTTTTTCGAAGCCGTTACGGTCAAATTTTAACCAATATGCTCTTAAATTGGGTCTGGTTTCAAGGTAACGTCGAGAGCAAATTTAACCTTTTCATCTCTAACTAAGTAATGAAGTGTGGGAAGTAACTAAAATGTAAGATTATGGCCGAGATTTCTGGAGAATTTGCCAATTTCACCCTCCCTCTACTCCGAAGCCTTTTTTCCTGACGTTACTTTAAATGAGATGTTTACCTTGACTGCAGATATATTTTTATGACTCGAAGTAGACAAGGTCAACAGCTTTGGAGTTCAGTTATTCGTAAGTCGATAATCAGCTGATTATCTATCTTTCCCTCCCAATGTTTGAGTTTAAAATTGGACCAGCAAGTACTCAAATTTCAAATAAAATGTCAAAATCAAACACCCCCTACGTGAGAGAATTGATAAATCAGCTTTAACATCGATAAAGAACATCGATAAAGAACATCGACTGTTTGAGTTTATAACATCGTTTTTGGCGGATGATTCTCAATTCATCTTCAGTTTCAAGTGAAACGTGAGTCGTTGTAATAGTTTGAATTGCTTTCAATTAAAAACTTGGCAGAAGCTGGCTTCATCAAGAACGGGAAAACATAACAATCTCAGCTAGGCACAATCTGAAGTACTGCATTTGATTTCTACTCTCTAACTTTCATGTGACCGATTTTACGAATGAAAGGTCAGCTTCAGCCGGACACGCAACTGAATTAAAACACAATTCCTACCAAATATATCTTGTTGTGCCTTTCTTTGGCGGGATTTAATCTCCACTTTTTTCCGAAAATAAATATCTGCGAAATGAAATTAAAAGCTTATCGCGCATTGGCTGATGTTTTTTTTCAATTCTCGTCAACTGTTGGCTGGATAATGTAGCGATGACATGAGTAGAAGTTACGTGTTGGTCGCTTCTTGGAGTTGGGAACAAAGCATCAAGCACAACTTCAGTTACTGAAATAATTAAGTTATAATTTAGTTTTATATCTTTCACGGATCCTGTACGATTATTTTTTCTTTTGTCTGTTTGTATTTCCTCAAGTGCTTTGTTTTCCGTGCTTAATTCTGAACTGTACTTACTACGTATA